AATGATAAATTGAATATACCAAAAGAAGATTAAATTGAAATTATAAACATATATTATGTGGACAAATTTTGTTGAATTTAATTATTTTAATATATAAAATTGACATTATCTTTTTGTAAAAGTCAAAATAAATTTAAATTATAAACATTCTAATAAAGATGAGTTGCACTGATAACTTTTATAATCAAAAGTTTATATTCTATACATGACCATTTCTTAGAGATGATTTATTTCATCATCGTTAAATATGTAGGTATCTATGACCAATACTTAAAATGTGTCACAATTATGATGAGTTCTAGTGACAATTTTCATCCTCACAAGCCCATATTATCTCTGTAATGGTTTTTAAGTGATGAAATGCCTTTTAGTAATGATTTTTTTTTTTTGTTATCGGTTGAACATATAGGTATCTATTATCAATATTTATAATTCACTATAATTATGATGAATTGTAGTGATGAATATTTTCATCATAAGCTTATATTCTATTTGTGATCATATGACAATAACGAAATTTTTTTTAGGGATGAATTTTTTTCATCATCATTAAATATATGTGTATTTATGATTAATTTTTAAAATTAATCACAATTATAATAAATTATGATGATAATTTTTTACTAAAAATCCTTTCTCTTGTAACGAGAGAAAAGATCACTGCACTTTTGACCATGCCCCCAGTTTCATAGTATGACTAGAAGGATCTGAAGCCCTTCCTAGCTCTCGTACGATCTTCTCACAACCCCATAAGTCACGACCCCACAAGTCTCTTTGCACCCAAAAGCATATCTCATTTCTGCTTGCTTTGATTGGAGAGTATAAAATTATTTAAACACCTTATTTACATGAATTAAAATTTTATATTTTTTAATTATTTAGAGTTTTATATTTTATAATTTAAATTATATCAAATTACAAAATAAGAGTTCTTATTGTGAATTTGATTCAACCTAAATTGCATAAAATTTTTTTAAATTATTTAACATGAATTTTTCTAACTTGATGGCCTTTAGATTAAAAGTGCAATTATTGTATACTTTTAACATTAATTCATATTGAAAAATTAAAATTTAATATTACTTTCACTATCAATACTAATTAATATTAAATTAATATAAAAACATAAAAATTTAATATTATTATGTAGATTATTTTAAATAAATAAATATATAAATATCAACTTTTATTTTATAATATTAATTAATATAAAAATATCATAATTTTTATTCTTGACCTCTAGCACATTTTAAAGAAATCCATTTCATATATATAAAAGAGGCCTT